CATCCTCGCTCTGTCTGAGCCATTAAATGGTAAATATACTATATTGAAAAGTTTGTTCACTGCAGACATGTTCTGGACTGCTTCTTGATTTCAATTTAATTCAAATGATTTAAGGGTGATAGACTAGTGACTACCACAGGTGGTCAGTGTCCAAGTTGTGCTTGATCTCAATGTGTTGCTGATTGTATCAGCTGGGGTAAAGCATTGCCGTTGATTTGATGAGCTGTTTTCTCTGATGTTATGAAGATGAGAATGTCTGTGGGGCGTTAGAGACACAGAAGCTAGGGTGCAACTATATCAGGAAGATTTGGGTGATAATCCAGAGATTAAACCAAGGACAGTCCGACAACAAAAATTAAAATGAGAAAACACTTAAGCAAGACACAAGGACAGACTTCCAGTTCACCAATGGCAAACAGTAGGGCAAATGAGGATGAAAAGGCCGATAGTGAACCACCAGGACACCCTGAACTCAAAGCACAGGAAGTAACAAAACAGATCAATCAGGCTCTAGAAAAATTCAAAACAGAAATAATTTCCCAGATAACCATAGAGATAGTGAGCAAAATGGAAGTCGTGATTCGAGACTCTAGAGCAGAAACTGACAAAAAAATAGATGAGCTCAGGACCATGATAGAAGCCATGAAGGCCCAGCATAAGAAAGAAATGGAAAAAATAAACGCCCAACATAGGAAAGAAATGGAATCCATAAAACAGATTCAAACAGATATCCAGGAGATTAAACACTCTATTGAAAGTGTACGCAACAGAATAAAAGAATGCGAAGATAGGCTCTCAGATATAGAAGATAAGATTGCAGTCAGTGACCATGAAAAGAGAGGTCTCTTAAAAACAGTAAGAGATCATGAGAAATCGATCCAACAACTCCTAGATGATGCAAAGAAGAATAACATAAGACTGATAGGAATACATGAAGTAGCAGGAGAAAATACAAATGACTTAAAAAAGCTGTTTGCAGAATTAATGACAGAAAACTTCCCAAACAGAGGGGAAGAATTTGACATTCAGATAACTGAGGCATATAGGACCCCAACTAGCTACAATCAAAAAAAATCTACACCTAGACATATAATAATCAAGATCCCAGAAACCCAACAGAAGAACAAAATACTACAAGCAGTAAGAGAAAAGAAACAAATCACATACAAAGGAAAGCCCATCAGAATCACAGCAGACTTTTCAACACAAACCCTTGGGGCAAGGAGAGCCTGGAATGAGATATTTCAAGTACTAAAAGAGAACAACCTCCAACCTAGACTGATGTATCCAGCAAAACTCTCTTTCAAAATGGATGGGGAAATAAGACACTTCCACGACAAAGAACACCTGAGAAACTACATGAATACCAAACCAGCACTACAAGCAATTCTAAACAAGATCCTAGAAAAAGACAATGAAGGCAACAACACCATGAGGCCCAACAGAGCAAATCAAATAGGCAAGGCAAGAAATTAAAAGGAGAAGGTGAAAAAGTAAAAAGAGTCAACAAAAGGCCAATAACATGTCAATAATAAGTCAGTACATATCAGTTATAACCAGCAATGTCAATGGCCTCAACTCACCAATCAAGAGAAATAGACTGGCAAAATGGAATAAGAAGCAAAATCCAACAATATGTTGTATACAAGAAACACACCTAGTGCAAAAAGAAGCCCATAGACTGAAAGTGAAAAGATAGAAAACAATTCTCCATGTGACAGGAGCCCAGAAAAAAACAGGGGTAGCAATCTTATTTGCAGACAAAGTAAATTTCAAACCAAAACTGAATCTAGTATTATTGATGTAGGACAGTACTGTATCATACCTCTATGAATGTAAAATATCTAGTACCTGCTTTATGATACATAGTAGGGACCGTGCTTTATCAGAGCTACATTTAATGATATTACTCTAGAATGTTCTCTTTCCAGATGATGATTAAGAGGCTAATAGAAAAAATGGTGCCAGGTACCACAACAGCAACAGAACTTTGCTGTTGTCTGGATATTATTCTTTTCTTTGTTTTTTTTTTTTTTTGTTTTGTTTTGTTTTGTCTTTTAATGGAATGTGCTGAATGTCTATAATTTTGTTCAGATGACTGCAGAACCTGGAAAAGCTGTTGCTGCTATCGATGCATAACATACTATTATTAGTCTTTATATATATATACACACACACACACACACACACACATACACACACACACACATATATAAATTGAATTTTGGGAAACTTTAACGGTGCTGCCAACTTTGGAAAAAGTCATCCCAATTTACTGTGTTGACTTGGCATTGTACAGAAATGGACAACCATATTGGTCTAGAAATGTTAATTTATTTTTATTTTTTTTTTTTTTCATGTGTACAGGGGTAACACATCATACTAAATATGTAAGGTCATATCTACGTGGGTTTGATTACAGAAACTAATAAAGTATTCTCTAAATAATGAAAAAAAAAATAAGATAAGACTATAAGAGCGAGAAGCAATTTAAATATGTTCAGGGACCATTTTCATCTCCAGAATTAAGGATTATTTTAATGTTACATCATTGCCTTTTCTCTTTTACTTTCCTTTTTAGTTTTATTTTAGGATTCCCTATTTTTAATGTTCATACAGAGATTTCTTTAACTGAAATACCGAATAGTTTCTTTGGTGTGAAAAACTATAATAGTACACAGGATCCTAATGAGATAATTAATAATGTGAAATAGGAAGTAAAGGGCTAAAGGTGTAGGGAAAGTGGGAAGGGTGGGGGAAAGGTAATAAGGGAGAGGAAAAAAATATGAGAAACTGAAAAAATGGAAATAAAGTGTTTGTAAATGGGGAGGGGAGGAGGGGGTGAAGGGAGGGCAGGGACAAGGGGAAAAATGAGAATCAAGACCTATTATGTAAAGGTACAGAATCCCAATGATGAATGTAATTGTATTGTATACCTAGATTGTACCAATAACCTCAATAAAAAGAAAAAAATAAAATAAAGTATTATCTTGCAAACAATCACCTAAGCCGAAGTGGAGGGAAGGATAGTTAGAAACAAATCAAGAAGCTAATACGCTAGGGTTTTGGATAAATCATTTGTGTTGATTTTGGCTATCACTAAGAATATAAAAACATCAAGAAAGAAAATGGGCTAGCACTAAAATCTTCTGGGAATAAAGACAGATTCATGACGAAGACACTAGACAACTATAAAAGTAAATTGAATAGTTTGATAACAATGGCTTCAGGAAGGCAAACACAAAAATCACTTATGTAAAAAAATTTAAAATATAATGCTTTTTAAAAGACCCACAGAATAAACTGTTTATGAATTACATATATAGCATAAGCATGGACTAGAATGATACAATTCATCATTGTCAGAAGAGAGGGGAATAATTAAGATATGATAGGTGAACTAGCAAAGTGAACTATATATAATTTTTTGTAATATTTTATGAATTTGATAATGGATGATAAACAACATCAACAGTGAAGAAATAAATATACGGCCCATATCTACATGGCAAAGTCATGTAATTAGTTCTTTTTAGGACTAACTATTCAATTTTTTAAAGATCAAATTCTTATACATAACAAAGAAGAATTCAATAAAACATTTTTCTCTGCTTAACATATTTGTACTTGAATGCTTGGTCATTATTTGGTACCAATTCTCAATTTGTGGAACAACTGTCCCAAATGTGCATGTGTCTTGAAGACAAAAGCATATTCAAAATATGACTGATACCTGAAATGGTGAATAAAATACATTACTACTGCATCTTTAATCAAAAATAAAAAATACAAAAATCTTTTTATAAGACACCATCTCTGTTCATTAGAAAAGTTGAATACTATTCATAAAATAATTCACTTATACTTGATTAATAAACAGATATGAGAATAAGATGTACTGTCAGAGAATAATAAAGAGATTTCAAAATATAATTTGTATCTAACTTATAGCGACTAGTGATGGTAATGAATTTTAGTTTTAAAATCAGAAATATTGCCATATACAAAAATCACAACTGGGCCAGGGATTTCGCTCAGTGGCACTGCATCTGCCTCATAAGTGCAAGGTCCTGAGTTTGATCCCCCATACCAAAACAAACAAACAAACAAACAAACAAAATCAACTTAAAAAAAGAATAGTCAAAGCAGATTACAAATACATTTTAGATCTTTATTACTCATAGGTTCATTTAATATTACTTCAATGCACAGAATAAAGCTTTCATTTTTCAACCAGCATGAACCTGTTAAAATATATTATAATACTTAAAACATGTAAGAACTGTGCAACAATTCAGTTCCATGCAACACAATTGGGTTGCACATAAATAGGCAATGATGGTGAACCTATGGGATGTGTGCCTCAGCAGGCTGTTACTACTGGAAACTCTAAAGAGTTTGCCCCATCACTGAACTAGAAGCTTAAAGGACAAAGACAGTACCTGTTCTTCTGCAGCTGAGAGTATAGAAAATCCCTTACATCCTAGGAATACTTAAAATTAGTTTTCCAAAGTGCATTCCATAAGCCAGCAGTACAGAGTAGCTTGCTAGTACACTACTTGTTATATTTCTGTGCTTAAGCTAAAAACACATTAACAAGTATTTATATTATTTACAAATACTTTTTGGTGACTCATTTATATAAAACCTTGAGAAACAATGCTTTAAATTATTAAGCAGTAAAGGTGAAAAGGATCCCACCTTATTACAAAAATTCTCACTTAAATAAAAAAAAAAGATTAAAAGGCTTAACAGTCATTTGAAAATGTTTTTACAGGACTGGGGGACTGGGCATTTAGTTCAGTGGCACCGTGCCTGTCTTGTAAGCCAAAGGTCCTGAGTTTAATCCCTAGTACCAAAAAAAAAAGGGGGGGGGGACTTTTTTTTTTTTTTTTTTAAATGTTTAACATTTTTCTATTATATTGGAAACATTTCATTAAAGTATATTACATCTTAAAGAAGTAGGATAAATTTAAGCAAGCTTAAGCAAACAGACTTACAATTGGTGATATCAGGTGGTGCATAGCCATCATTTATGTACATACTTGTGGGTTTTGCCACTTTTAAATAAACAAAATCAGACGTGTTCTTTAAAGCAGTTACTGCTTCTTCATGAGTAACTTCTTCTAAACATACACTATTCACCTAAAATAAAATCACAAGAGACATTTAAAATACTTGCACTTGTTTTCTTGATTTTGGTTAAAAATAATTACAGCAAATCAGGGAGTATCAGGGAGTGATTTAAAGAACATAGAGGTGTGTGGAAAGAAAATACTCAACTTTATTATCTATGATATCAAGAAAGTATACAAACATATTATCTTCCTCTTACTCTTAGGGATTTAGGAATGTAATGTGGGTATACTTTAGTGCTTTAAAGAAATGAGACCATATTAAAACTTGTATTTTGCAAATGGATCTTTAATATTACACTTGATCTTAGCCAAAAGGCCGAGAAGCGATGGATCTTTAATATTAAGTATCTTAGAGACTGTTCCATGTTGGGACAATTTAAAAGAATGCTACACAGTATTCTATTATGTGGTTATACTGTTATTTATTTAAGTTTGGTACTGGCAATGGAACTCAGGACCTTGAGCTTGCAAGCCAGGTGGCAGCACAATGGAGCTAAATCCCTGGTCCTATACTATAATTTATTAAACTACTCTCAAATTAATAGACATTTAAATTGTTCTCCAAAATGGCTTGTTAATTCACACATTACCAGATTACTCATCTACTTAGACCTTTGTTAGCACTGAGTATCATAATTTACAAGGTCTGTAATATGAGTGTTTTACTTTCTCTGTACATCAAATTGTTTATTTTTAAATTTATTTTTGGGTCTCACTATGTAGTTGAGACTGACCTTGAACTCACTATGTAGCCCAGGCTGGTCTTGAACTCACAGCAATCCTCCTGCCTCAGCCTCCCAAGTGCTGGGATTACAGGAGTGCACCACCATGCCCGGCCTACATCAAATTATTTAAATTTGTATTTCCACTGTCAGTAATAAGTTTTACCCCAATTTTTTATTGTCTATTCATTTATCTTCTGCAAAGAAATATAAATAAATGTAGATACTAATGTATATCCTGCCAATTTGCTGAACTTGTTTATTAGTTCTATTAATATGTTTGCGTGATTTTTGTTCATGTATGTGTGTGTGACTGTCACCTACAAATACAATTTTACTTTGTTCTATTCTTCTTCGCTACTCAGGCAGGGCTGGCAAATGTTCTTACCCTTAAGCTATAATCTTTTACTTTTTGGTACCAGAACCTTGTGCTTGCCAGGCAGGTTCTGTATTGCTGAGCTACATTCCTGGTCCTACATTCTATTCTTAACGTCTTTTATTTTTCTGTTCTTAATGCTCTGGCCAGAATTTCCAAGATAACACTGAATAGAGGTAGTCATCTTGTTTTTATTTTCAGGAATTTGTTCATTTCATTGAAATTAGGATTTAGCTCAGTGGTGCTGCGCCTGACTGGAAAGCACAAGGTCCTGACTTAGATCCCTAGTACTGGGGGGAAAAACTGACAATGGAGAATTTCCAATGATTTGACCAAAAATTTTTTAAAGTCATAAAAGAATCATAATTTCCTCCACTGATTATTAATATAGTTTTGCAAGGTTTCAACAGGGTGGTTATTTTTATAATTTATACTACCATGCAAAGGGAGGGCAGCTTGCATTTTGAAATACATACCTGTTCCTTTAATGGCCTACAATGAGCCATAACAGATCCTCATATTCATATCCTTATAAAAATACCTTCCAATATGTACTCATCTTGCGTGGAAACACAGCTAGCTTTTAGCCAAAGAGATAGAGTAACTCTTGAAAAGAGAGGATTGGTAACTCCCACACACTAGGGCTTGTCCTCTTAGAAAGCTCGTTCTTGGAACCTGCTCATCATACTGTGAAAAGTCTGATTAGCCTTGTGGAGAAGCCTTTGGAGAATTAAACATCTGGCTAAAGCCCCACTTGGGCTTCCAGTTGACAGGCAACAATTACCATGTGTGGGCCAACTTGGAAGCAGACTGTCCCTGGTTGAGCCACCACAGCTGACATTATGTGGGAGTATGGACAAGCTGTCCTTGCTAACTTCTACCAGAGTTGCAGAACTATAAGCAAATACATGATTAATGTCATTGCAGCCATTAAATTTCTGTGTTTTCTTATGCTGTATTAGATAAATAAATACAAAAAATGACAATATTTACTGAGGGAGTCAATGTGTAGTGTAAAAGAAAGAGGATGATCCCCATTAGGTAGGCTTGACAGCAAAGTTACTTGGCCACTTATGAAACAGTCTTAACCTAAACAGTGACATCAGAAGTGAGCACTGATAAAGAAAATGTATAAGGACTGAATTCTAGATCACTTTAATACTTAAAAGTTAGGGAGATGAGTAAACACCAGAAAAAGAGAATGAGGAGTACTGAGTAAGAAAAATAGAAAGACAGAGTGACTGTCAAGCAAAATCAACAGGTTTGGAGAAGGAAGAAAGTGTGTCAAATGGCAGACAATTACGATGAGGATTGAAATTGATAATTTCAGAGTAATAAGACAAATGCCTCAATTAAAAGTGGATTTGAAAGATATTCAGAGTCCTGCTGTGATGATAAATCAGCACATGATGCTGGCTCCCAACCAACAAAATTCGTTCTATAGAAACCTTAAATAAAAAACATGGCATCCATGAAATTAAAAAATTAAAGTGAGAAACACAGTGGTGATGGAAAATTGTTTAGATGGGTGTGGGTGTAGACAGCAATACAAAAAAGGTGTTGCTTGTAGCTTGGGGAAAGACTGGCAGACACAGCTGAGGGAATATGTTAGAGAAAAATAGTTCAAGTGATGCTGTTTACATTTCCCCATCACCTTAAAAAATATATCCTTATTGCAAGAATAAGCAGTACTTGGCAGGATGAAGAACAAAGGAATCTTTTATATATTGCTGATGGAAATGCCAAGTTTTATAAGCAGTCTAAAAGACAGTAAGATGGTGTTTTTTGTTTTGTTTAAAAATAATTCTATTAAGAGAATACCAAACAATTCAGCAATTTCCATGCTTAGGTAGAGTCAATGAAACTACTGCACACGTTTATCAGAACACACTGCAGCTCTTCCTAGCATAATTACTCTTAATACCAAAAGAAGAAGCCAACCTATCACTGTTGGCTTCACTTGAGCCCTCCTGATCCAGGTCTTGGCAGCTTGTTCAGCAGGATGACAAAAAGTCCTGGTTCCTACTGCTCTCATTTTGTCTCCTATCATTACCAGTTCTCTTAGCTTCTGGCAAGGTCTGGGCATGGCCAGTGTCCCAAACCATGAGAGATATGAACACATCAGAGGCTAGTATCTGGCCTGTTGTTTTTCTGAGACATAAAGGAAGTGAGGAAATTGCGGGGGGGAGAAAAGGGGAAAGAATGAAAAAGTGGGGACTGGTAGATGAAATGGAAAATAAAGATAATATCAGAATCACTTTTCAGGTTTTGATAAAGCAAGGCTAAAATTCAATCATTTAAATGTCACTTAATGGATCAAACATCTAAATATTAAAACAGAAACACTAAATCTGCTGGAAGGGAAAAAAGGGTAGCACTTTTGAGGACATAGGGGTAGGCAACGACTTCATGAACAAAACCCAAACTGCACGGGAAATAATGCAAAGAATCAACAACTGGGATCTCATCCTATTAAAAAGCGTTTGCACTGCAAGAGAAATTACCAACAGAATGAAGAGACAATCCACAGAATGGGAAAGCATTTTATTCAGTAGCCCCTCAGATAAAGGACTATAACATACAAAGAACTGAAAAAAATTAGAGCACCCAAATTTAAAGATCCAATCCAAAAATGGGCATCTCAAATGAAGAAATAGAAATACCAAATAAATACATGAAAAAAATTCAACATCACTCATGTGAGAGATGCAAATTAAATTCCAGTGACTGTCAGGAAAAAATACACACCAAAATGACTTTTAAAACAACAGATTTCATATACTTACTGCTAGAAGTTTATCTCCAATCTGAAGTTTACCATCCTTATGTGCTGCACCCCCTTCAATTATTTTGGTTACATAGATGCTATTATCCCCAGGAATATGCTGATTTCCAACACCTCCAGCAATGCTGAATCCAAGACCTATTTGCAAAACAGTAGTTTCAGATTCTCATCAATAAAAATGGTTATGAAAATCACATGGAACTTAAATTATAAATTTATACATACGTGTGTTTTTACAGCAGTAAAATGTGTAATAGTGGCCAGGCGTGGTGGCACATACCTGTAACCCTAGCATCTGGGAGGCAGAGGCAGGAGGATCGCTGCAAGTTTGAGGCCAGCCTGGATACATAATGAGTTCAAGGCCAGCCTGAACTACAAAGGGAGACCTTGTCTCAATCCCCCCTCCCAAAGTGCAATAGTGTACATAAATTACCATAAGAACTTTTCAAATGTTGCAATCTTGGTAGGAACAGACATCTAAAATTTTGCTGAGGACACAAAATTAGTAGAAATACGAAAAATTCTACAGTCAAATTCTGTTGAAGATTACCAATTACTGTTGATCTCAGGATGTATGTAAAGAATGGGTTCAAAGTTGTATTTAAGGGAAATTTCTTATTTCACAATCTGTCTTAGTATGAATTCCCACATACCTTTAGGACCTTTAATGAGCTTTATTTCCATTACTTTTTCCGAGACTGGTTTCCGTCTTTTTACATACAAACGTACAATAGACCCTGCTTCTTTCAATGCTTCAACTGCTTTGCTATGTGTCACATCACGAACATCTGCTTCATTTACTCGCAGTATACAGTCATTTACCCTGAGAAAAGTTAAATGTTTAAAAACTTAAATATTAGTATTTTACTTTACCACTTTGTTATTTTCATTTTTAAGGTAAAAAGAATTATTTAACCAGGAAAAAAAAAATACATGAAGGTACATGTAAAAATACAGTATTTTCCAAAAGCCAGCAAAAGGAATAAAACAAATAGTGCTAATAATTGATTACACAAAAGTATTAAATATTTGCATGCCTACAGTGGGGGAGGGCACAAAGATACTTTGTGAAAGTAACAAACATTTACTTGGCACCAACCACATGCTAGGTACTTCCTTAGTGTTTTAACACTTAAATAACAACCTGGAATTTCATAGATGAGAAACTAAAGCACAAGTTTAACTTTTCCAAGGTCATCCAGATAATAACTGACAGAGCTATTATTTACAGTTAAGAAAAATGAGGCTCAAAGAGATTGATACTTAAGATCATAGTGATAGGGTCAAAGCACATTAAGTCATGAATTCATGGAAAAATAAATTTGGGAAGGTGGGTATTGGGGACTAAACCTGGGGCCTTCACACTGAGATACATCCCCAGTCTTTTCTTTTCTTTTGGTACTGGGGAATGAACTCGGGACCTTACACTTGTGAGGCAGGCAACGACACCACTGAGCTAAATCCCCAGCATTTGTTTTTTAAACAGGGACTTTTCAAGATGCTATTTTCAATCCTCTTGCTTCAACCTCCCAGAGTGCTTGGAGTACAAGTATATATCACTATGCCTGGCTCCAAAAATAATTTTTTACATGTCTTTTCCATCCTAGATATTAGAATTAAACTCACACAAAGTTTAGTTCAAAGGTTTGTTAGGTAAATAACTGATAATTTGACATGGTCATAAATTTTTTAAAAGTTTGACTTGTTCCTAGTCCTAACCTTTCTCCCTAGATTGGTCTTAGTTTTGACTGCATAGTATTCCGTTAGGAGAAAATAATCACCTCAAATTAGTATGGAGGAAAACAAAACACAATTAAAATATTATAACTGGTCCTGACAAGCCTCTCTATTTAATTAATTTTCTTTAGAGGAAAGAAATTCTACTCTCAAAGCAACAATACCTTGGTACTATAGGGATGTTCAGTAAAACAAAGAGAACCATATTAATTTTTATGTGAGCAACACAAATAAAAAAACAGTAACAGAATCAAGAAGTAAATGCCTACATTTCCATAAATATTAAATTCTTCATTTTTTTCATTAATATTTACTGGTCACATCCAGTGAAACCCAAAAAATGAACAGCTACATCATATATTAAAAGGGTATTAACAGACAATATAAAATCCTTAGCTTTACAATATCAGTCTGTTATAATACACAAACATAAAATCACCACCAAAGAAACAGGAAAGGTGCCATCATTTATGGCCAAAGGAAATTACAAACTCTGCAACAGTTAACTTCCAAAATAGAATACTAGTTAAATAAAAGATTAATGTTAAAATGTATTAATTTAATTAAAATTTACATGTACTTTATTTTTTGTGGTATGGGATATAAAAATCATAAATATATATATATATATTTTTTTTCTTTTTGTTTTGTTTTCCTTGAATGAGTTTGTATACTGTACATGTTTCCCAACAAGAAAAGAAATGGAAAATAATTTGTGAATATACTAGAAATTATAAAGGGTATCTACACATTTGTTCACAAGCATTTAAACAATATTTATTATTCGAAATACTGTAAAACCTAACATAAATTTATTTAAGACTAAATTCCTAAATGAAAAGAGGGAAGCAATGCTAGTAACAAAATTTCTTATTCATCTGAATGCTGTTTGACCATTTACATTACATTAGTTTATATGACAGTGTTTCTTATTTTATTTATCCCTCTTCCAGTAAGCTTCAAGAGAAGTCCACAAAATTGATTCAATGTCACAACATAAAGTACAAACCATACCGCAATCTTCCATCTTGGGCAGCTGCTCCCCCTGTGATAATTTTGGTAATGAAAATACTTGAGTCATCTCCAATGTGTGGGTTGTCTGTACCTCCTGCAATGCTGAAACCAAGCCCTGAATTTCCCTGGGGAGGGAAGGAAGAAAAAAAAAATCAAGAATTATCTTTTTCTTTTTTTGGTACCAGGAATCAAACTCAGGGCCTCCCAGTTGCCAGGCAGGCACTGTGCTGCTGAGCTACATTCCCGGTCCAAGAATTATCTTTATTGAGAAGTTCTTGTCATTGTAGGACTAGAAACTGTATTGAAATAGGAAACATAACATAGCAAGGTGCATATGTGAGTAACATGAACATTCTCAATTAAATACACATACTCTCAATATACAGAAAATCCTTTCAGAAGCCTTATAAATCAGTAGGTGAGGCTAAAGAAAATGTACCCAGTACTTCTGAAGCTAGTCTCCAGGTCCTTCTTTAAAAGTATGTGCAATTTGTCAAGTCATCCCTCTGCAGAGGTGTCACTCACTACACATTCCTTTCTTTTAGATTGCACCTCTTCCATGTTTGGAAGGAAAAATTTCTCCTAAGAGACACACACTGAAGTGATGCTTCTCCTCCCATTATTTCTCAGTTGGTCAAACCAATATATTATTTCAACCTTTAAAAAAAAGGGTGGTAGTGGGGTTCTCCTGTTAACTTTGTCATTAGTTTAATTTTAAAGGACAAAATTGGAACTACTAAATAACAGCTACCACCAGTCATGCTTAACCAAGATACCTAGATATCAAAAGGTATTTGTTTGTATTGAAAGCCCAAATTGATAATTTAATTGGTAGCTTTCTTGATAGCAAAGTAAACTGATGAAGCAGGTCACAAGGCTCATTTTTTAAAACTGGAGAAGCTGAATTTCTGAGTATTTTCTTTACAGAAAGGGTTTTACTACTACAAAAGTCTTCTGGGCTACTGACCTAAGGAATGGTATTTAGAGATGTTTGCTTTTGCTTTCATGCAATTCAAGTAAGTGGATATATTTGGACCCATTACTTAACCAATTAGTATTAAAAGGCTTAAATATCCAGTGTACTGCTTTGTTCTAAAATTCTAATTTGATAAAAACAAAAACAAAAAAACAACGAAAAATTTTTGGTTTAAACTCTTGAATCTGAATTATACTATCACCAGATTGTGGGAGGTAACCATATTATTTAGGTACTCAAGTTCTTCAATAAGTGAAAAATACAAGGTACAGTCCTAAGTTTTACTGAGATTTAAAAAGGATGAAAAAGAAAAAATTAGAAGCTAAGAGATATCATAAAATATTGTATTAAAATATATACATTAATATTGTGTTTACTTAAATGTTACTCAGACATCTACCTAACTTGAGCAGGTGATCTTGATTTAAGGAAACAGTCAATAAAAATTGATTTTACATGTAAAAGATCCTCTCAGGTCTATTTATTTTTTACAGTGTCTCTTCTGGCTTTAATTACAAATTTAATTATCTAAGATTTTAGTTTTAAGTATACAGGCATTCATCTAGGAAATTTACTTATGTGGAACATTTAATTTCCCAGAACTACTGGCCAGACAAGGTGGCATTATTTTTAAAAAATGTATACGATGGGCCAAAATGTGTCTTTTTTTCCCCCATTAAGCTTACTGATACATTTTAGGTATAAAATACAGTTCCAATCATCATTGGGATCTTGTACCTTCACATAATGTATCCTGGTTCTTATTTTTTCCATTCCTCTGCCCTCCTGTCACCCCCTCCACCCTTCCCTATTTACAAAGACTGTTTCCATTTTTCCCTTTTCTTGTATTTTTTCTTTTCCCTTCTTTCTTTCCCCTACTTCTTCCATTTTCCCTACTCCTTTAGACCATTTCTTTCTATTTCATATTACCAATTATACATTTCGATCCTTATTTATACTTTTAGTTTTTCATATCAGAAGAACTATTAGGTATTTACATGTGTGTCCTATTTATTTCACTTAAAGAGTATGGCCTCAATGTGCATCCATTTAGCTCAAGGTGGCATTTTTTTTTTTTTTTGGTACCAGGGATTGAACTTGGGTCCTTGTGTTTGTAAGGCAGGCCACCAAACCGCTGAGCTAAATCCCCAGCCCTTCAAGGCAGCATTATTAAAATTCAGTATAAATTGAATGCAGACTTCTGGTTTTCATTGTTGTTTATTTTGCAGTGCTGGGGATTGAGTTCAAGACCTCATGCATGGTAGGCAACAAGCACTCCACTGCTGAGCTACATACATCCTCACCCTTAAACAGATGAACTGTATTCATTCTTTTTCCTTCTAAATGTAGATATTCTTTTTTTTTTTTTTTTTTTTTTTTTTTTGGTACCAGGAATCAAACTCGGGCCCTTTCACTTGAGAGACAGGCAGTGGAACCACTGAGCTAAATCTCCAGCCCCAAATGTAGATATTCTTAAATACATATCTTAAGAAACTTTCCATATCTTAACTGCACCCTTAAGGTATTTACCATTAGAACTATTTTGCTAGGAAATAAAACTGATGCAATGCTAGTTACTATCATATTACTTAAAATGACTACTAAAGGTATGAAAATAATACAACAAAATTAAAGAGAAATTTGAGAAACTGTTATAGCCTAAGGAGACAAAACTAGGTGTAATGTGAATTCCTAGATGGGAACCTGGAATAAGAAAACATAAAAACTAAGGAAACAGGAATAAAGTTTAGTTCAATTAATAACAATGCATTTTGGTTCATTAGCTGAAATATATATACTCTAATAATGTAAAATATTGACAATAGCAGAGGATGAGATCGGGGAAATGGGAATTCTTTGTGTTATCTTTACAACAACCTTTTGGTAAATCTAAAACTATTTTAAAATTATCTAACAAAAGGATATTAGTGAAATAAAAACTTTCAGAAAATACCACTGCTCATTTTATGATTTGAGAACTTACAAGAGGAAATATTACATTTTTCTGTTTCTGAAAGATTCTTCACTAGGAGCTCTATGACTGAGCAATGCATTGTAAAGTTCTTTAAAACAGATTAAGGGCCGGGGATTTAGCTCAGTGGTTCTGCAGCCTGCTCTGCAAATACAAGGACTTGAGTCCTTTAACCAAAACCCCCCCAAAAAAACAGATTAGGATAATTAATAGTTTTTACCCTTTCAAGTGTGATTTCTTCATATTCATAATCTGCATCAGTGCCATTAACCTAGTGAGGGAAAAAAGAAGTAGCTCAGAAATTCAGAGTAAAAAAATTTGAAATGGCAAGATAATTTTTGCATGATTTCTTAATGAAAACCTGTTAAATGTGACAGTGATCAAATAAAAGAGCTTCATTTTAACAATTTTAGAGATGTTCAAGAAATGAAAGAGTATAAATGTGTCTATACTGACATTTAACGGTATTATGACTTTCAAATTCAGGAAGGGTATTTTTAGCTTTTACTATTACTGAACTCTTTTTCCTCTGCCTTGATACACACGTCTAATGTTGAAAACTCTTCCTAATCTGAATACAACTTCTCTGAAATCCACTTCTTCATTTTCATTACATTGCCAATGAATACAACTCACCCAATCGTTTAACTATTTCCCATTGCCCAAATCATTCTAAGTGGTTTAAACAGACAAATCTTTTTAAAAAGCCCAGACTAATCAACATTTCCAAACCTTTCAAAAATTCAATTTTTTCTAGAAATATTCCAACTATACGGCCTGGTAATCAAACTTTGCATGAAGCTATCTACCATTTATTCCTAACATAAATACCCATATCTCACCTCTTTCTTTTCCCACATATCAATCCATGTGAACATCTCTTCTTCCTATTACATATTATATTGTGCAATTTCCTATCCCTATATATGAACTTTAACAGTCACAAATTTCACTGTTTTACATAAAGTCAGATTCACCATCCAAGATCTTGCTTACAAGTTAGAGACCAAGCATTTTTTCTTATTCCATTTTCTCTCCTTAAAGAAGTAACTTGCATGGTAAGGGCTGATGAAGGCTAAGGAATTAGTTTAACCTGGGTTCGAATCCTTGCTTTAAAATATCAACTGACAAGCTGGGCAAAATATTAAACATTAATAGGAGACTGTAAAAGGAACTGACCAATTAATTTCTGAAAATGTCTCACATCTTTCATTTCACACACTCTTCTGCAATAGGATTAAATCATCCTACCATAAAGGGGAGTCTACTGCCTCTCCTTTTGATCTAGGCAAGCCCTGTGACTACTTCTGATAAAAAATATGTGGCACCAATAATGCTGTGCAGTTTCTGAGGTTATGTCATAGGATACCTTGTAATATCTGCTTTTGTCTAAGTATTCATTTAGTAGATCCAAGGTAGCTATAATGTGAGTTAATTCAAACAGCTTACAGGGGAGCCAAACAGAGGAGAACCAAGCCATGTGATGAGGTTATTCTGGACCTTCTAGCCTTTTCCAGTGCCAACTCAAAACTGAATAAAGCAGGACGACCCAGTTAAACCAGGAAAATTATGGGAAATAATAACCACTGTTCTTTTAAGCAGTAGATTTTAGGGTGGCTTGTTATGTAGTGACAGATAACCAGAATAGACATAACAAAACCCATGTAAGCTACTTTGGTTTCTTCACCACTGTAAGAAAGTAGGTCTATTATAGGCACTACAGTTCTTTTCTTGGAGCTGCTGAAACTTATCTCTACTGCCTGAGTTTTCAGTTCTAATTCTTGTGGTGCTCATGGGCACCAACTCAATTACTACTTATTTCTCTTTTTACTTAAAGACATTTCTCCCCTCTAGTTTTAGAGATGATGTATATAGGAGCATTTATAACTTTTTATATATAATTTCTATGCATCTAGGATACAGAGGTACTGAAATATCCTGTCAACATGAGTGGAAGTCCTTTTATATAAGTAAAAATAAAATGATATTCAGCTACTATATTTTTTTATCATCTTTTTTTACATGGATTTGCTAAATCCATCAATCTTTAGTGATTTCAACACAATGAATAAATCAATCACATTCTATGCTGTTACTTTCTGCTTCTATGTTGAACAATTCTTTATTTTCTTTAGAAAAAAGTTTTTTGGGCTGGGGATTTAGCTCAGTGGTTCCACCACCTGCTGTGCAGGCATAAGGTCCCGAGTTTGATCCCTGGTACCAAAAAAACAAAAAAAACCAACCCCAACAACAACAAAAAAACCTCACATCTAAACTAAAAGTTTTTTTTGACTCAAATGCTCAATTCATTTCTGCTTATTCTTTTGTCTTTAGAAACATCCATTAAAATTCATAAATTTTCCCAGCACATGGGTTTGGTCAAATCCCACAACTGTTGCACTGGGCTTATTTTTGTTTGTTTATTTCTAAATAGGCTGGAAGTTTTTTTTGCAAAATATTTCCAAGTAATTGTGCTTATAATGTCCTTTTATTAACATGAAAATTTTGGTTTTGAGGTCTTATGATTTCTGCTTTAAGGAAAAAGTACATAGATTTTCATAAGCCTACAAAGTCAGTAAATATTCCTGCTAATTAATTTAATGCCAAGTCATGATGTAGGTTTCAAAGTAGCACAGAATGATTTTTTTTTTTCCAGCTTTAATTGAGTTTATTGGTACATTTTAGGGATACAGTACAGTTACATTCATTGTTGGGATCATGTACACAGAATGATTTTAAAAGGTAAAAAGTGAACAGGCCATATAGACTCCTAGAAATCTTATTTCTCAATCTTCACTAATTTAAACCATCTGATAATTTCAAATATAAAGACAATTCAGTAGCATTAAATACATTCATACTAGGCTAGGGACTAAAGAGTACATTCTCAAAAACATTGTTTTTTGGTGTGATGAAAACATTTAATATCTATTCTTTTAGTGAAGTACACATAATTATTAACTGTAGTTGCCATGCTGTACTAAAGAACTCCTGAACTTACTCCTCAGTCTAACTGAAATTTTATATCCTATGACAAACATCTCCCCAATCCCTTCCCCTCTCAACCTTGGCCCCTGGCAACCACTATTCTATTTTCTGTTTCTTTGAGTCTGACTTTTTAGGATTCCACATTAAGTGAAATTATTCAGTATTTAACTTTCTGTGCTTGGCTTATTTCACCTAGTACAATGTCCTCTAGGTTTACCCCTTTTATGGCAAATGACAGGATTTCCTCCTTTTAATTGCTACATAGTATTACACCACACACACACACACACACACAATTTTTTCTTTATTGTTCATCTGTTGAAAAGACACTTAGGTGTTCCCATAACTTGGCTATTGTGAATAATGCTACCATGAAAACAAGAGCACATATATCTTTGCCATAGTGATTTCATTACATTTTGGATATGTATCTAGAAGTGGGACTGCTGGAGCATATGGTAGTTCTCATTTTACTTTTCTGGGAATTCTCCATACTATTTTCCATAATGGACATGCCAGGTTACACTCCCACCAACAGTGTACATACAAAGGTTCCCTTTTCTCCACACTCTCACCAACATTGATTCTTTTTTTTTTTTTTTTTTTTTTTTTTTTTTTTTTTGGTATGGGGATCAAACTCAGGACCTTGTGAGGCAGGCAGTGGCATCAATGAGCTAAATCCCCGGCCCAACACTCACTAATTCTTGTATTTTGATAATACCCACTAAAATGGTGTGAAGTGATATCTCATTGTGGTTTTAATTTGTTCCCTGATAATTATTTTTGCTGAGTAATTTTTTCAATTATTTGTTGGCTGTTTGTAATATGTCTTTTCAGGTCCTTTGTCCATTTTTAAATTAGGATATTTGTCTTCTTGTTATTGAGTTTTTGAGTTTCTTATGTTGTTTGGCTATTTTTCCTTATTAGATTTATGGCTTGCACATACTCGTCTCTGTGCTCTGACAACTATTTCCTTTGCTGAACAGAAGCTTCATGTAATCCTATTTGTCTATATTTGCTTTTGGGGTCACACCTAAAATATCTTTTCTCAGCTCAGCAACAACAAGATTTCCCCCCTACCTTCTAAAAGTTTTACAGTTTCAGTTCTTAACACTTCAATAGTTAATCCATTTTGAGATGATTTCTGCATATGGGGTAAGACAGAGCCCAATTTCATTCTTTTGACATATGGATGGTTATTTTTTTCCAACATCATTTATTAAAGAGGCTATCTTTTATCCATTGTGTGATCCTGACATCCTTGTCGAAGATCAGATGACTAAATACATGGACTTCTGGATTCTCTGTGTCTGTGTTTGTTTTAGTTCCAGTAAGATGGTGTTTTGCTTACTGCAATTTTGTAGATTTTGAGATCAGGTAGTTCAGACTGTTTTGGCTATTTGGAGTCTTTTGTGATTCCCTATGAATTTCAGAAGTGTATTTTCTATTTCTGTGGAAAAAATCATTAGGATTTTGATAGGAATTAAACTGAGTTTGCAGACTGCTTTGGGTAGCGTGCATGGATAGCTTAACAATATTATTTTTTTCAAATCCATGAATACAAGACATTTTCCCCTTTATGTTATACCTTTAGTTTTTTTCATGACTGTTTTATGGTTTCCACTGTACAGATCTTTTACTTCTTTGGTCAAGTTTATTTAAACTAAGTATTCTTCTTGTTTATTTTAGGTGCTGTTATAAATGGCATAAAATGAAAGAGGAGATATTACATAAATACAAAGGACCATAAGAGACTTCTATATGCCAAAAAACTGGTAACCAAAAAGAAATGGATATATTTTTAGAAACATATACCTACCAAGTCTAAATTATAAGTTACAAATCTAAATGGACCAACAGCAAGAATGAGTAAGAGAAAACAAAACCAACAAAAACCCATTAAAGAAAACCCCAAAGTAAAGTGAATGGTCTAATGACCAAATTCTATGAAACATTTAAAAGAACAAATACTCATGCTTCTCAAACTCTTTCAAAAAATTGAAGAGGAAATTCCAAATTTTTCTTAAAAGTCTTCCAAACTCATTTTACCCTCGCTTAGCTTTGAATGGTATTATGCCAAATTTACAGATAAGGCTGGAGAAAATGTCAATATATTATCTTGCTGCTCTGTAACAAGATCTGTTCTCTGCTTACATTCTTTCAAATTACTCAGTAAAGTTTAAATAGTTTTCTTGTAAACTCTATATTTCCTTTTTTTGCTGATTGACTGGTATTTCACATATCTATTAATACGGTTTATGGACCCATATTTCCAAATGGTGGTTGTTCACACACTGAAATAGCACTGATTACATAATTTTTAAAATTGTACAAGTTTCTTCCTTTTAATACAACTGATTTAATTAATGGTACACATATGCCATAAAAAAAAAATTTAGAATACAGATGCCATTTGGTCCAAAGTCTTTAATTTACTAATTAATTATCTGTTGTTTAGGTTCAGTTCAGTAATACGTTTCTGACTATAAAGTAACATATTAGCATTAAAGATATTGTCTATCAATATTCATATGACTCATCATGGCACATCTTAATGCATAATCTCAGGCAATTAAAACCCTCAAAGCCTATACAACTACAAAGTAAAAATTTAAATATGTACCAGGGAATAGAAAATGTTCTTCCTAATGAAAAATTAACATAATAAAAAAGTAAAAACTCCTAAAGGGTTAGATGAAAATTTTTTCTAAACAATGAATTTTGGTTGGTTTAAAAATATTGTAGTTATCAATTATCTCATATGGGTAAAAAGTGAAGTTCTCAATATGTAAGAAACCTACCAAACTCCAACTGAATGAATGTTCTTAGCCTTTATTCTTTAGTCTGTCTTGAGAAAAATAAACACAAGGGAGAAAGATGGAGATTACAGTGGTACCTCAGTTCATGAATGCTTTTGTTTGTTAATAATTTTTTGTAAATAGAAGTGCTTGGAAAAATTTTTGTTTCTGTTTGCAAACGGCATCAGGTGACAAACAAAACCATGGTCATCTTTCCCTCACAAATACAAACATAGCAATCTTTCCCAAAATTGTAGAACAAAGAGCTCATTAATCAAGGGTACCACTCTAAATTATTTCAACAATTTACTTCATTTTCTTCTCTTTAATGGAAACAATGAAGAACTCTAAAATTTAGTGCTTAATCTTGTTCTCCTTTAACATTTTTACTATCTAAGGATCACACAGGGATGGAGAGAAAATTATACTCAATGTAGATGAAACTATGTCAATTAATACTTAAAATTAAGGATTAATATACTTAGTCGAGAAAAACAGCTTTTTCCCAAAGAATCAAGAACTTACAATAATTTTCATTCTTACCACATTTATTAAATATAGTAAGAGGGGTAAACCAGGACCAATTAGGCAGGGGAGAAAAATAAGACATCCAGATTGAAAAAGAAGTAATAGTGTCTATTTGTAGATAGTTTGCTTTGTGCATAAACATTCAAAGGAATCAACACCACAGACCATTAGAGCTAATAAATGAGTTCAGCAAGTTTCAAGATAAAAGATCAATAACTAAGGTCAGTTACATTTCTACTTACTAGCAACGCAAAATTTAAAAATAAAATTAAGGGAAAGTGTCACTTACAATATCATCAAAAGAATAAACCACCTAGGAATAAATTTAACCAAAGAGTGTAAGACTTGTATATCTCAAACTGCAAAACATGACTGAAAGGAATTAAAAATGAACTCAAGTGTATCAAAGACTTAAATTTAAGAGCTAAAACTATAAAAATCTTAGGAGAAGATGAAAATCTCTATAGCTTTGGACTAGGCAATGTCTTCAAGATACCAAAGGCGACAAAAGAAAAATATATAAATTTAACTGATGTATTTTAAAAAGATATTATCAAGAATGAGAGGGCCAGGGATTTGGCTCAGTGGTTCTGCTGCTTGCCTCGAAAGCACAAGGGCCTGAGTTTGATTCCGAGTACAAAAAAAAAAAAAAAAAAAAAAAAAAAAAAAAAA